CATCCAAGCAGTGTGCTGTTTCCAGTGGTAGGGCAAATAAGATTTTAGGTTGTATCTATAGAAATATTGAATACAAGTCTAAAGAGGATATACTTTCATTGTACAGGCCTTTAGTTAGGCGAGTGGAACATTGTGTTCAGTCTTAGGCTCCTTACCTGAGGAAAAACATTGAATTATTGGAAAGGGTTGCTAGAATGGTGTTTGGGATGGAGGGGTTGTCATATGAGGAGAGGCTGAAATCTCTCAAATTGTTTTCTCTTGAAAAAAGAAGAGTTTGGGGAGATGTGATTGAGGTGATTAAGATTGTAAAGGGAATTGATAGTGTTAATGTATCATCTTTTTTCATATTTAACAATGAGAATAGTAGGACTAGGGGAGACAGATATAAACTTTGGCAAGGTAGGAGTCATCTTCAGCTAAAACAATTTCATTGTTCTAACAGGGTGGTTGGTCTTTGGAATGGGTTGCCTTCAGCTGTTGTAGAGGCAATATATTTATGAGTATATGAAAAAGCTTGATAAGTATATGAATAAAAAGGGCTGGTTTTAAGATTTTTTTATTTTTAAATCATTTTAATTTAGTTTAGAGGATGGAACAGTTGAGATGGACCAACAGGTACTATGTTGTCCCAAAACGTTATGTTATGCACTACTACATCTTAAATTGTATCAGCTTCACTTTCGAAGTACAAACTGCACATTTTTAAACTTTATACATCTTGTATTCTTTCTGCAGAAGCATGAAAAATAAAAGCTAAAATAAATTTTTAACTTTTAGTTCCATTTTAAGTTTTACAATGTGTTAGTTATTTGTTGTTGTTGTTTTTTACCTTATACACTCAGATGATTTAACTACTTAAGCTATTTAACCAGAGTACCAGGCCTTTCAAAGATACTTAAACAGTGTTTGTAGCCTAGATGGAACTGTTTGTTAAGATAACTTAGCTACCAGGAAACTGTCATTCTAAAAAGGATACAGATCTTAAAATAGATGGTTTTCTGAATCCTAGTTTTCCATTGAACTTATAAATACTATTAAAGCCTATATTTTGAACATTGTCTAAGGTTTTGGTGAAAATTACCTATAAAATTTACATTTATTCAACCAGACTGAACCACACATATGTATTGTTATGTTTTCTTGAAAATGTTTAAAATAGGACCTTGGAGGAAGATATAGTTACTCAGTATATGGTAAACAAATCCTATAACAATAGCCAGATATAATAGTAAGTTTTCTTTCGTAAGACATAACTTTATTTTGGTCCCCAGAATATTGTGATTTTATGAGTGATTCAGGTTGGACTTTGACAGAAAAACCTGTAAAACCTATATTTCTATAATTAATGAGCCCATGAAAAACCTTTGCTTTCATGTTGTAGCCTATTTGTTTAGCTCATTTTTCTTAAAATTTGTATGAGTACTACAGAAGAATTAGATATAATTGGCCACAATACGGATCTTCTGTCTAAGATCTTTCTGGTACTTTTTCGCTTTTATAAGAATGAAAAAGATAATACTTAACTGTTTTAACATGTTGGATATAAAGAAACATCCTTGTGAAAGGGCACTTAGGTTAATTACATTTTTATGCTACTTTCATAGAGTTTTGTATTGGTGTCCTCCAGGTGGTCAGCTGTAAGTTTATGGACTTGAAATGCTAAAACTGGTATTCCTTTCAGAGCTGTGGAAAGAGTGTAGGTAGTCATTGTGTAGCTTTGTATTATAACAACAATTATTAGATCGGTTGCTATGTGATACATATTTCTTCAAACACACGTGAAAAAAACTATAATTGTGCAACAGTGGTAAGCATAAATGTATATTAATTAACGTTTATTACTCTTGCTGAACCAATTACATCTTCCATCTATTCTCAATTTCAAACTGTTGCATACATTTTTGTAACACATATGGATGACACCATGAATTCGCAACAATATTGAAAGTACGTGTATATTAATTAAACTTTGTTACCACCATTAAAACTGTCTTCCTTTTTTTCTAAATTGCTAGTAAATCAAATGTCGTGCATAGATTTATTTTGTCTAACATCTAATGTTGACTTAATGATTTTCTGTTACAATTGTACAGCTAACCCATTCTTTTCTTAATGTGTATCAAACATTTACTTTACTATTCTTAAGATAAATAGTTCATGAAAAAGAACATAACTTTTACGAAGTTAAACTTAGTGCACTGTAACGTTGATATACAAACAGTCACAAAACAACGTTATGCATTTTTTCAGGGTTTAAAACTAGTCTACTGCTGGGGTAGTAGCGAGTCGAAGGATGGATTAGGTTTGTACGTCATTCATGGATTCTTTTCTTCACTGAAATTTAATATTTTAGTGAGGAGAAGAACAAATCACAATTTGCTTTACGCTCTGTTATATAATCTATAGAAACTAAAATATATTTTACCATGTGTATAATTAGACTTAAAACATTCATAATCATAAAAGCCAAGTGTCAGTCGGTGACGTTCGATTTCTCCGAATTTTGTGAGTTACACGAGCCCAATTTCACTTTTTCTCCTATAACACTTCCTCTTTTGATTGCACGTTCCCATTTTAGTTTAATTTAATCGCTAACATGGGCATAAATAGCTTCTAAATCACGGCACCTTTTCTGATATATAAAAGCCTATCAAGGAGGGAGTTCCCAGGACCAGATCAGTCATGGCGTTATGTGTGTGAAACCACATCATTATGACGTCAAGCTAGGTAGGATCCGAATAGGAAACTAGGGAAGACTCCCGTGATCCTGTGAAAAATAAGTCAAAAATTAGCGTAAATCTATGCTTGGGAATAATTGCGAAAACGCCTTTGTTAAAACAGACTTAAGATACCAAATATCAGTAGGGAAGAGGAGGACTTTTCCTCAGAAGAATAACAGGTGTGTATGCAATCACATGGTCACCGTATGTTTTAATCTTTTATCCAAAGGCGCAAGGCATCAATGTTTGCTCAGTTATATGTAGTGGATTCAGGAGAAATATGTAGCATGTTCTCGAGAAAGGAAATTTTATATTTCTTTTACTTATTTGTTTTGTGCATTGCCAGTTTTATACGGAATAGTTTTGGTTTCCAGTGGTTCCCGTTATTTTGGACGGGCTTTTACGCTACTAATTAATATTATGTAATGTATAGGACTTGTTCAAAATAATTTATGTCATATATAAACGACAAATATTATTAAATGTATGACCATGTACATAATTTGTACTTTATATAAAACTACCTAAAAATATTG